TGAACTCACAGCAATCCTCCTGCCTCAGCCTCCTGAGTGCTGGGATTACAGGTGTGCGCCACCATGCCTGGCATACTGTATTGGTCTGGAAGTCAGTGATATATGACCTGCTCCTGTCTGATGAGATACACAGAAATGGGTCATCATTTTCCTGATGTATTTGAAGTTAAAATACAGTCTTTCCTATGGCTCCACTGCCACTGAAGATTAGAAAAGCAGCTGTAGTCAAGAAAGTACTGAAAGGCTATGGAACGAATATAAAAAAATTCTCAATCCTAATATTCAAAATGACCTCCTCCTTCACATTTTTTTCAATATGCTACCATTCATCTGCCAGAGCACTTTTTTTTTTTTGCAGTACTGAGGATTCAACCCAGGGAGCACTGAGCTGCATTTCTAGCCCTTTTTGTTTTTTTCTTTGGGACTGGGTTTCATTAAGCTGGCAGGCTAGCTCAAATTTGCAGTTGTCCCGCCTGGGCCTCCCTCGTAACTGGGATTGCAGACCAGTGCTACCATGCGTGGCCCCCACATGGGACTCACTTTCCTCTCTCCTCAGCAATTTATTTCCATCTTTTCTAAATCTTGCACCAAAGAGCTGCCTCCCTCAGAGTTTTAGCCATGTGTATAAGAATCCATGTCAGATTTTCCTAATTTATGAGGTATGGGTACCTTGTGGACAATGCACGGAGATATGCAGGTGCCTCTTCCCACGGCAGGAGAGTGAATCCGAGGGTCTATGACACGTTTAGCATTGCAGTGCATATCCTGACCCCAGTCACTCGGTCAGACTTATCTGTAGAGATGGGAACAGTTGTCTAATTCCAGAGGTCTCAAGATCAGTTCTCAAACTAATCTAAATTTTTAAATACTCTCAAACACTGCTAGTGCAGGTGTGCGTTTGTACAGTCTCCCTAAAAGGCACCCTGACAAAAGGTATTGCTACGGACTCACCTGTGCCCTCTGCAAAAGGCAGCTCACACGTCAAAGCCCTGCCCCCAATTGAGCATACTATATGCAGACTGTGTGTGTCCGTTTTTCATTGCTGTAACAAAATACCCGAGAAAATCAACTTAAAAGATAAAAGGTTTATTTTGGCTCATAGTTTCAGAGGCTTCGGTCTGTGGTCGTTTGGCTTTGCTGTTTCTGGGCTGTGGTGAGGCAGATCATCACGGTGAGATGTGGCACAGGAAAGCTGTCCAGGAGGGCAGAGAGGGAGGAAGGGACCAGGGGCAAGATATGCCCTCTCTCCCCCGTCCCATGACCTGCAGCTGGGCCCAACTCCCAAGAGTACATTCAGCATCTTTGTGGTCAAATCATGATGCAGGAGAAACCTCATATCTACACCATGACACGAAGGTGGTACCCTTAGGGAGGTAACGGAAGTGAGGTCGTAAGGCGGGGTCCCGATCTGATGGGACTGGCGTTCCTATAAGACAAGAAGGAGACACCAAGATTCTCCTCCAACCAGAGAAAAGACTGAATGAGGCTGCAGCAAGCAGGCGGACATCTGACACCCTCACCAGAGACCAACTTTCAGGGGGTCCGAGGCTCCAAGCCCAGGTAGTTGGCCTGTGTTCGCAGCTGTGAACCAGATCTCAGAGCGGCCTCCAATGACCAGGAACGCAGCCCGAGACCTGCGGCTGCAGGATCTCTCCAGCTCCTGAATCTTACTTTTGAAATAGTTATTTCTTTGTTTTTCCACTCCCAAACAAGAAATACCTTTTCAAAAATGATTTTTAAAGCACTATCTATATTTGCCCCATAATTGGTTTAAATAATGCCAGAGTACATGAACTGAAAAGAGACTGGTGTTACTTACTGCTACTCTCCATGCTGGTACTCTTACATGTTAATGATAGATCCTACCCATAATGTGAAGAATAGGACTCTTAACTCAGCAGTGTACACTGCGTGTCTTTCAATGTCAAAACGTGAGTTTGGTGTCTAGAAAATTTGGACGAATAGGATAAATTTATTTTTTATTTTGGTGAAATATACATACATATAAAACGTCACCATTTTAGCCTTTCTTCTTTCTTAATTTATTCAGTACATTCACAACTTGGGGAGACCCTGTGTCCAAGTTTTAAAAAATATATAAAAGGGCTGGGGCTGTATCTCAGTGACAGAATATTTCTGGGTTCAATCCCTAATACTACAAAGGAGAGAAGGAAAAAATATTGGTTCTAAATGTCATTCTGAACAAACTAAGCCCATTTATAGTCTTTTGATTTCTCAACTTTACAGTAATGTGAAAGTGGTATGTATTTGGAGAAAGTATACTTCAAGTTTTGAATTTTGATCTCCTTTTTTTGTTGTTGTCTTGAGACAGAACATGCTATGTACTTCAGACTGGCCTTGAATTCACTGTGTAGCCCACGTTGGCCTCAAACTAAGCGATCCTCCTGCCTCAGCCTCCTGAGTGCTGGGATTACAGGCATATGCCGCCACACTTGGCAATATGGAAAGCTTCATATTTTAGGTTATCACAATTTAAAAATCATATTTTAAAAAACTTACAGAGACCATTTACTCAGGGACTATTTGACTCACTATGCTGAAACTTTCCCCCTTATACTTCTTGATCAGTGGTGGCAACCCTACAGCACGTGTGTCACAGTGGGTTGTTTGTATCATTCAAAATTTTCTGGTGTGCCATCACTGGTTGTCTATAAGGCCTCTCTCAGCTCTTGAAGATGGTTATTTTGGTCACATGGCTGCTAAAGTCTTATAACAAGCCGAACTCTTTTTGTCTACACAAAACATCTCCTTATAAGTGGGACCCAAATGATTTCACTTTAAAAAGAGCCTGTTTCGTTTGTATTTGGTTCCCATCATCCTTACCTTGACAGGTTAAAAGTATGTGCATTTACAATTTTTTTGCTCACGTGATTATCATGTCTTGAAGAAGATGGGGCAAGTATTTATTTTTTCAGTTAAATTGGCATGAGTTTTCAGTACATAATGATTACATTCCTCATAGGGGAAGTTCAAACATGGACACGAGTGCTTTATACATTTTATATATCAACTCTTCATAGCACTGTTTGCAAGTATTTTCTCCCAGTTTGTAGTTTGTTGTGTACACCTTTTTAGTATGGCTTCCCTGTGTCTGGAGTGGATTGGTTCCAGGCCTTCCCTTGCAAATGAAAATCTGTCACCGTTCAGCTCCTTTTATCAACTGGTGTATTATTTGCATAATTCAAATCATCTTTAGTTACATTAATATAGTGTAAATTCTGTGTAAATAGTTATACTCTATTGTTCAGGGAATGACGACCTGGCAAAGTACATTTTCAGAACAAGATGCCATTCCCCCTAAAAAATATTTTTAATCTAGGATTGGTTGAATCTTTATGTGTAATGAATGATCAGAAGGCTAACTCTGGTCCCATTCAGTTTTGTTTTGTTGCCTAAGCTTTTGTATAATATCCAAATATTATGCAAAGGCCAGTGTCCAGGAACTTTTCTTCTGTGTTCTCTTCTGGGAGTTTAATAGTTTCAGTTTCTGTCTTTAATTTGGGGTTTTTATACACTGAGCTTTTGTTTTTGGTGTGCAAGGGCCCATTTTCATTCCTTTTGCATGTGGAAATCTGTGTTCCCAGCGTAACTTTTTTTTTTTTTTTTGTATTGGGGATAGAACTTGGCCCTTGTGCTTGTGAGGTAGGTGGCAGAACCACTGAGCCAAATCTCCAGCCCCACAATTTTTTTTAATCTCAGCAAAGTTTCATTGAAGGTAGGAAAAGAAACAGGCTCTGCAGATCAAGTTTGGGCCAAGTAAAAGTAGAAAAGGAGTATTCTGTACAGCGTGTGTGTGTGTGTGTGTATGTGTGTTGGGAGGGCACCGTGCAAGAGAACACAGTGGCCTCCCAGCATCACTTTTTGGAAAGATTCTCTCGTGTGCTCTTTGTGCCTGTGTCAAACATCATTTGACTGTGGTTTTATTTCTGGACTCTTGTCTACTGGTCCATGTGGTTTTTATGCCACTACTGCAGTGTTTTACTATAGGGTTGTACCATTTTAGTATTTGAGGTGATGTCTCACTATGTAGTCCAGGTTGGACCTGAATTCTTGGGGCTCAACTCATCTTCCTGCCTCAGCCTTCCAAGTGAGTTGGGTTTACACACTTGATTCACACACTCATCTTATTATGCAATTTTTTTTTGAGACAGGGACTCACTGTATAACCCAGGATGGCCTTGAACTCACTGCAATCCTCCTGCCTTAGCCTCCTGAGTGCTGGGATTATGGGAAAGCACCCCCACACCTAATTAGAAGGGTTTGCTTTTGCACTGTTCAGGAGCTCGTGGATTTATCTCAAGGCTCTTTGTGCAAGCTATAGTTTACATACTGCTTCATTGTTAATAAGGTATATGTAAAATTACTAGTGAGTGGATAACACTTTTCAATTGTGCATCTGAATATTATATCCTAATGTATGCTATGTACTATAAACAGACTCATATATATGTATACTATAACCAGACTTTGAGACCCACAACTATTGCTTCAACTTTCAACCAGACCCAGTTAATAAACATGCAGAGTAAAACACTTGATTCAGAGGAATTATGGAAAATAATTATATATGCAATTTTTTCTTTGTGTGTGTGTGTGAGAGAGAGAGAGAGAGAGAGACAGAGAGAGAGAGACAGAGAGAGAGACAGAGAGAGTCTTGCTGTGTAGTTCAGGCTCATCTTGTACTCACAATGTAGCCCAGGCTGGCCTTGAACTCATGGCAATCCTCCTGCCTCAGCCTCCTGACAAATTTTCAACCAGAAGTTTGGGTCTATAATAATTGCTTAGAAAGGGAGGGAGGTGCTTCACATCTATCTCTGTGCAGTCTAGGAACAGAAGCACAAGTCACACAATTTAAAATCAGGACTACTATTGAGTAATAAAAGGCTTATACTCAAATGCTGACCCTCTGGGGTAAAAATAAAGTAACATAAAATTCATGGGTAGAAAAAGAACAGAGAGCCGTGCAGTCTGAGGAGCAGTTTGTTTTCTTAGCCATTTATTGACAGCTACACAGGGCACAGCAGACACGGGGTGGGCTGTAAGGTTGGCCTCAGGCAGAAAGGTTCCTCGGCCAGTTTGCACTGATGGACCACACCTGCACAGCTCCCTGGGGAAAAAAGTAAATGAGCAGAGTTAGTACAACAAACTCCAGCACCTGCGGCCTGAAAGGAAGCACAGCCCTCTGCTTTTAATAAACCACAGACCAGACACCTTCCAAAAGGGTGTAATTTACAGCCAAACAATGTTGTGGATAAACTGGAAGGATGTGATCGCACCGACAGGGTGGCGGCCCAGCTCTCACAACATGAACATGCCTGAGTTGGGGAGTGAGGATTGAGAAAGGAAAGAACACTCAAGCCTGAGTGGAGACCAAGAGAAGTCTGACTCATTTCACAGAAACAGCTCCTTCTAAAGGCACACATCAAAAGGAAGATTTTTAGGGGCACACAACAGGAAGCACCAAGCAATTGTGACTCTTACAGATAATATCAGATCTTCAGCTAATGGAGTTCCTGTTATCGCAGGGTCAAAGAACAAAATAAGCTTAACAAACAGTGTCCTTGAAAAGAAACAAATGTTAACAAATGTTACATAGATTGTATCAAAGCCTTAATCCTAGAGGACAAAGTTATTTTCCAAATGTCAAATGCCACTGGGCCATGACTGGCCCCCACATTTCCCCCTTTTTATTATATTTAGAGCAGGGACTTTCCCACCTCAGCAGAAAGACTATGCCTGTCGTAGGTGAGAAATGTCTAGAGAAATCCCCTACCCATCATCAAACCATGAGAAATTTAATACTCATGCTCTGTTTTAGGTTGGTTATTTCTCCATAATTCTTACCCATCACTGACTACCAGTCTCTGCAGGGGTTATACCATAGGCTGTGGAGGCTTGACATGTAGCTTTCTCTACCTCTATCAACATTTGTAACCCTTGATCCTCATACCAGGACTCATTAATTTTTACAGGCATCATTACAAAGGGCACAGAATGAAAGGAAGTCATCATTTCTGAGAATATACAATTGGTCAATTTACAATTAAAACAACTGTTGTTATATCCGTTATCAGTTTCATAAACAATCTCTATATTTCTTACCAGTAGCAGATAAGGAGCATTAACACAAGACATTATCTAATTTTTCTTTTGTTCTTTGACTTGAGATAACACAGTATTTATGGTATTTTGCATATAAAAGGCCCCATGTCAAAAATATTGAAACTAAAGCTAGTAACTTTGACATCTGACCATAATGTATTTCTCCCAATGCAGCAGCAAGTTTCCAAATGCTAGTTTGAGGAAAACCTGAATCTGTCCACCAAAGTCCTGCAGATAAGCTTAAGTCTGTGGAATTTCCAAGTGACTAGTCCAAAAACTTTTGAGATGTGTCATTAAATAACCTTTCCTGAGGTACAGTAACATAACATCGTTTCCATAAAATTGTAGTATTAAGGACTGTGGAGGTTCACCAGTCCCATTAAATCCTTGTTCTGGATAAAGAAGGGACACTTTTTGATTTTTGGAATGAAATTTCCACTTGTGCACCGAGACATATCCTGGAGTTTTCTCTGCTCCTTCAGTGTTGGGGTCCCAATCCAGTCACTTCAGGGGAAACCCAGATTCAAGCTGTTCAGGGATAGTGGTGGGTCTATAAATGTATCCCTAACCATAAGTAGGTGGAGCAGAAGAGAAGGGAGAATACCTGGACCAAAAGGTTATTATCGTAAACAATATGCTGGAAAACCTGCATGGTCAGACAACGTGAATACATTTTGTATACCAGAAAAGTAGCAGTAATAAGTATTATAATCATATGAAATCTTATGTATCAACAGGATCTCCCCCTTTTTTTTTCTTTAACAGAAAATATATTTTCAAGATAACCATCATAAACATGTTATAATAACATATTTAGAATTCAGTCTTTTGATGATAACCAATGTAAACATTTTTAACAACATATTTAACAAGGCATATCTTTTTATAAGGCTATGAAAATTATTTGGGCTCCCACTAGTGAACAAAGATCAGAATAAATTTTCTGAGCAGCTGCTTCTTTATTTACCAACAGGAGTGTACCCAAACTTTAAAGGTTTATATTTATTTAAGTTATTTAATCCTATAAAGCCAGGTTGTAGAAATCAACAACCCATTTGTATTTGACGTCGTTTTTTTATAAAAAAACATAATCGGACAAATACTTTTTAACATTTAGACAGACAAACATAAGGCAATTTAAACTAGAGTGCACTCAGATGGTTTTGGCCAATTGAATTATAAAATCTTTTAGTTACGACTAGTCAAAACTTTTGCAGGTCAAAATTAACAGAGATCTCTTGTAGAATTAGGGTTAAAGGAATGAAAGCTCTTCTTGACTGTAAATGTTAACCTTTTATAACAGACTTGAAACCAACAAGCAAACATAAATAAATCATTTTCATACACCTTCTCTACACACTTAGGCCTTCTGGTCTTGTATATCTTTCTTTACCTATTTTTAACAAGACAAACATACAAAAACCTTTCAGGTCAAAAGTATAACTCTTATCTCATTTACTATTAACCTTCTATAACAAACTTCAGTTTAAAGTGTCCTTTTTTTGTTCTCAGGTTGTTACATCTTAAAATTTGACTGGCTTCCAATAGAACAGTATTAACCTTGAGTTTTTAGAAAAGAGCAAGTTAACCCGATAATCGCAGTTTAAGAATTTGCAACGCACAAGAAGTGTTACTAAACTAAATAGTTTTCACTAGCAGCTGACTGTCACAGAGCAGAAGTTTGAGCAACTCCTAGGCTGGATTATTTTGAAATCTTTCTTAGTTATGTGGAGTACAAGGTCAGTTGTAGTCTGAGAACCTCCTGGAAATGATCTAAAATCAAGGTGAGGGGGGTAGATGAGCTCCCTCCCATTTTATCAGAAAATTCAATATAATTAAACAGACAAACAAGGGAACAAAAGAGGCCAAACAGAATGTAAGACAAACTGAAAGAAGAATCAGGGACTGTCAGGGAATCCCCTTAATCTCCTCTTCCAAAACCAGAAGAACTCTCTCTCAACTACAGGGTTCTGAGGAGGGGAAAAAAAATCAACCTCCCTCCCTGTAAACGGAGAGACAGAGTTCCTACCAGAGGGGCAAGGGACGTCTCCGGCCCCTGCTGCGGGGAGTCCACTAGCACATCTGCCTGGACCTCCCGGCCTCCAAAATGATCCGGATCACAAATTACCAATTAACAATTGTAAGACATTAACAGGAAGAGAAAGACAGAGAACAAAGAAAGAACAAGTATTAAAGTTTAAGTGCTCAACACAGTAGGGGTCCCCTAGGGTTAGCTGTACCCATCCTTTTCACTTTCATGTCTTGGATCCAGACTATCTCTAACAAGAGTCCATAAGCTGAAAGCATCCACAGGTACCTTACTGGGACCATGTGCAGCATAATAATCTTGTAATCATTTTCCTATCTTACTCCAAGTTTTTAGATTAACTGTGTCCTCCTCAGGAAACCAAGGACAAACTATTTCTACAAATTCTAAAAAATTACACAATTGCTGGTGCCCTACTCTAGCACCACCGACGCACAATAAATCTTTAAGCATATGTAAAAAAGCATCCAAGTATTGCCAGCTCCCATCTTTAATATTCACAAGAAAAACTCACTGCTCCTTACCTCTTTATTGAGGCCTCGTTCTTCTCTGCGGTGTCCTTCACTGGATCCCTCCATACTCAGGTCCCTGTCTGGGGGCCACTTGTGGCGGCCCAGCCGTCACAACACCAACATGGCTGAGTTGGGGAGTGACGACTGAGAGAGGAAAGAACACTCAAGCCTGAGTGGAGACCAAGAGAAGTCTGATTTATTTTGCAGAAACAGCTCCTTTTAAAGGCACACAGCAACAGGAAGCACCAAGCAATTGTTTTTAATCTTTATGCAAAGACGGGATTTCCTGACTCTTAAAGATAACATCAGATCTTCAGCTAATGAGTTCCTGTTATGGCAGGGTCAAAGAACAAACACGCTTAACAAACAGTGTCCTTGAAAAGAAACAAATGTTAACAAATTATCAATGCCTTAATTGTAGAAGAAGAAGTTATTTTCCAAATGTCAAACGCCAGTGGGCCAGAACTGGCCCCCACACAACAGCCAGCACCATGAAAACGTAAACTCCAGAGGCCCAGCGTGTCTTTTGCAGTTTGCGCATCACAAGGACACAAAGAGAAAGCATGAGGCCACAGTGACTGAGAAGCAAATAACCACACATGTAGAGGCTATCAAACCTCCCTGTCCATTGAAGCTGCCCTACAATGTGGCGGTCCAGCCGTCACAACACGAACATGCCTGAGTCGGGGAGTGAGGATTGAGAAAGGAAAGAACACTCAAACCTGAGCGGAGACGAAGAGAAGTCTGATTTATTTCACAGAAACAGCTCCTTTTATAGGTTCACATCAACAGGAAGCACCAAGCAACTATTTGTATTTTTTATGCAAAGACCGGTTTTTCTGACTCTTTGCAAAGAACATCAGATCTTTGGCTGTCTCCTTGAGTTTCTCCCATTGCAGCAACAAGTTTAACAAGCAGAGTCCTTGAATGTTACAGATTGTATCAATGCCTTGAGTGTAGAGGTGAAGAAGTTTCCTTTTAAATGTCAAACTCCTAGAGGGCCATGGCCGGGCTTCCACATATCCCCCTTTTTATTATATTTAGAGCAGGGACTTTCCCAGCTGAGCAGAAAGACTGTGCCTGTCTTAGGTGAGAAATGTCCAGAGAAATCCCTTACCCGTCATCAAGCCATGAGAATTCTGATAGTCATGCTTTGTCTTAGGTTGGATATTTCTCTACACTTCTCTTACCCGTCTTTGACTACCAGCCTCTGCAGGGGTTAGATCGTAGTTTGTGGAGGCTTGACATGTAGCTTTCTCTACCTCTATCAACATCTGTAACCCTTGATCCTCATACTAGGACCCATTAATTGTTACAAGCATCATCATGAAGAGAGGTTGTCTCAAAACCATCACAGACTGAAAGGAAGTCATCATTTTGAGAATATGCAATTGATCAATTTACAATTAAAATAGTTGTTATATTCATTATCAGTTTCATAAGCAATCTCTATATTTCTTACCAATAACGTATAAGGAGGATTAACACTAGACATTTTTTTCTTTTGTTCTTTGACTTGAGATAACACAGGATTTATGGTATTTCACACATTAAAAGTCTCTGTGTTAAAAACATTTAAACGAAGGCTAGTAACTTTGACATCTGACCATAAACATATTTCTCCCAATGCAGCAGCAAGCTTCCAAATGTTGGTTTGAGGAAAACCTGAATCTGTCCACCAAAGCTGTGTACACAAGCTTAAGTCCAAGTGATTAGTCCAAAAACATTTGAGATGTGTCATTAAATGGTCTTTCTTGAGGTGTAGTAACATAACACCTCTTCTATAAAATAGTAGTACTGCCTATTTCTGTTTCTTCTCCACACAAAGGTAATGATTGTGGAGGTTACTGTCCCATGATACTGGATGTAGACTTGTGAGGATGATCCACATGACGAACCAATCTCTCTGGTAACCATCGAGCTCCATCATGTTCCTGCGAGAAAACACAAACATATCCTCGGCCCCATATTAAAATGGGGTCAGGTCCATACCATTGACCAGTTAAGGGATCTCTCCATTTTACCAAGGTATATGGAGAACCTTGTGGATGCCAGAATCTTTCTGCTGCTGAATGGCCATGCTTATCAATTTGTAAAAAATTTAGAATATAAATAGCATGATTTAAGTAATTTCTGAGTGAGGAGGGATATAACTCCCCCTTTTTTATTTTTAGAAGTTACACTTTTAATGTGCCATGAGCACATTCAACTATTCCCTGTCCTTGAGGATTATAGGGAATACCTGTAATATGCACAATATGCATTTGTTGACAGAATAGTTTGAAGGCCTTACTAACATATCCAGAACCATTATCTGTTTTTATTTTTTGAGGTACTCCTAAAATGGAGAAACAATATATACAGTGAGCAATAACATGTTTAGTAGCTTCTCCTGTTCGAGCTGAAGCAAGAATAAATCCTGAAAAAGTGTCAACAACAACATGTACATACCTTTGTTTTCCAAACTCCATTACATGAGTAACATCCATCTGCCATAGTTGATGAGGAAGCAAACCTCGAGGATTAACACCATAATGTGGAACAGAAGAAAATTGAGGGCAAGTGGAGCACTGTTTAACAATTTATCGGGCAGCTTCTCAAGGAATCTGAAATTGATATCTAAGAGTACGACTACTTTGGTGATGGAGTTGATGAGATTGACGAGCTAAATCAATTTTAGAAAGGGCAATAAATTTTGTGGAAACATCAGCAAGATGATTTCCCAAAGACAATGGACCGGGTAAAACAGTATGTGCTCGAATATGTCCAATAAAACAAGGAAGAGAATGATTATGAATATAATTTTGTACTTGAATAAAAAGTTGTTGAATCTCTAAATTACTGGTATTAATACAGGCCACAGTTTCTAAAGAAGGAAGGGCTTTAGCCAAATACTATCAGTATATAGATTAAAAGAAACATGGGCAAATTCCTGAAAAACAAAAAGAATGGCATGCAATTCAACTACTTGTGCCGAAGTGGCAGGTGTTGAAAAAACCTTTTCATGACCATCAATAACATAAACAGCTTTTCCATTAGAGGATCCATCAGTGAAAATAACAATGGCATCAGGTATAGGTTTAAATGAAATAATTTTTGGAAAAATGAAGGATTGAATGTTTGCAAATTGTAACAATTTATTAGGTGGATAATGAAATTTAATTTGGCCTGAAAAATATGCAAATGCAATAGCCCAGGAATCACAATTCTGAAACAGCCAATCTAATTGTTTTCCTGTAAATGGAATTACAATAATGGAAGGTTCTAAACCAAAATATTTCTGAGCCTTACATCGGATTGATTGAACAAGTTGGGCAACAGCTTCATAATACGGTTGTAAATTTTTGGCAGGTGAAACAGATAAATGTAATCACAATAAAGGTCCATTTTGCCACAAAACAGCTGTAGGGGAATGTTTGATTAGAAAAATAAAAGCTTCTAAGGGTTTTTGATAATCAAAATAAAATATCTGTTGATTAGAAATGGCTATTTCCACCTTTTGAAGAGCCAATCGTCCTTCATATGTGAGGGTCCTGAGGGAGGAAGGATCAGGATCCCCTTGCAAGATATCAAATAAAGGTTTTAATTCTCTGGTAGTTAATTTTAAATAGGGATGTATCCAATTTATATCTCCCAATAATTTTTGAAAATCATTCAAAGTTTTCAAATTATCTTTTTGAATCTGTAACTTTTGGGTAAATATTTTTTGAGGATATAGCTGATATCCCAAATATGAAAAAGGAGACTCCCGTTGAATTTTTTCAGGAGCAGTAACTAACCCATAATCATTTAAAACCTTTTGTAAATAAACAAATACAGTAAGCAATAATGATTCATCTTCATTTGCTAAGAGAATGTCATCCATATAATGTATCATATAAACAGAAGGATAACTTTGTCTAATACAGGAAAGAGCCTGCGCTACAAACTTTTGACATAGGGTAGGGCTATTTGCCATACCTTGAGGCAAAACTCTCCATTGGTACCTTTGCAGACGTCCCTGGAAATTAATAAAGGGACACTAAAAGCAAATCGTTTACAATCTGTAGGGGCGAGAGGTATAGTATAAAAACAATCCTTTAAATCAATAACTATTTCAAAAGTATTTCTAGGTATTGCAGAGGCAAGGGGGAGACCAGGTTGTAATGCTCCCATGATTTCCATAGTTTCATTAATCTTTCTTAAATCTTGCAATAATCTCCATTTACCAGACTTTTTCTTTATAACAAAAATTGGTGAATTCCAAGGAGAGACAGACGGTTCAATGTGGCCTTTATCTAATTGTTCCTGCACTAACTGTTGGGCAGCTGTTAATTTCTCACTAGTTAAGGGCCATTGGTCAAGCCAAACAGGCTTTTCATCTTTCCAGACTATTGGATCTGCATGGGGTGCAGGCATGTCAATGACCCCTAGGGAAAATATCCCAGG